ACATGTGGAAGGCTTAAGGGGTCTACACAGCATAGGACAGCAAAGCAAGGTGACCTGCTCCACTGAGGATCTCCGAGACACCCCCACACACACACACCCTGAAAAAGCCCCAACCCCATCATGCTTGTTCCTGGCTATCACCTTTTTATTTTCAGGTCTACCTGGATAGGTCAAATCAAAACCAAACCCAGGCCATCAAGTCATATGAGATTCTAACTCAGCCACCGCTCCTTGGGTTTCTGAGGCAGTATCTCTACGTGGCTGGTGGGTTTGAACTGCCAGCTTTCTGCTTAACGGTCAAAAGGCGATGTTATCCCCATTTTACAGATAAGGAAGCTGAAGCTCACGGAGGTAGAGTGACTGCCAGGGTCACACCGTTAGGGAGAATGTTATTAGAACCCAGGTCCTCCTGACCCTCCTGAACCTGGGAGACCCCAGGCCAGTATAAGCCCCCTCCATCTGACAGAACAAGTAGGGAGGCGATCCAGGTGACCTGGGGGAGGGGGGCGGCGGGAATGGAGTAGTGATCCCTCGGGGCTCACAAAGGACTTGGGGTGTTGGTTGCAGGGGAGGACCCCTGCCCCCCAGGGCCTGGGCTGAGGGGGAAGGGAGGCCTGGTGGATGGAACAAAGGGAGGGAGAGGGGGCGGCGCGGGCTCTGCCTTGCAGGTGGGGGGGCAGGTGGAGACCACTTCCGCCTGGTGGGGATCCCAGACCCCCACCCCGCAGCGTCACCTTTTATGGTAAAGTGGCGGCGCGGGGCGGGGAGCGAAGGGAGCGAGGGGCGGGGAGGCGGCGGGGCGGGAGCGCAGCGGCTGGTCTCGCGGCTCGGGCGCCGGAGCCGAGCCCCGGGCGCGGCGGCCCAGGTAAGCGGGTCGGGTCCGGACGGGGAGAGGGGGGAGGTCGGTCTTTCGTCCCTGCCCGGCCACACACGGGTGACAGCGCGGGCAGCCCTTGACCGGAGAGCGCCCTACCCCCAGCTGGGACCCCAGTTCGGTACCCTAGGCTTGGCGCTCCTGGAGGGGGCCTGTGGCACGCCGTGTGTGGGCGAAGGTCCTGTCCTTGGGTCTCTATCCTCAGAGTGGGGAGGACTCCCGGGGGGAGGGTCGCGTCCCTGTCGGGATCTGGGCGCTAGGGAAGGGGCGCGCAGAGCGGAAACTCCCGCACAAAGAGGCAGCGTCCCGCACATGGATCGAATTAAAGTCCCCGACCGGCGCCCCACAGCGACCGGGCCAGCCGCCTGCCCTGCCGCCTGCGGGAGACCGCCGGGCTTTCCGGAGTTCCCGAAACTCCGGGCCCCTCTTCCCAGCTAGGGTCAGGGGAGGGGAAGGAGGGGCCCAGGGCTCCCCGCTCTCGGGCCTCGGATCCCCGTCGGGGTCTGGGAAGCCGAGGAACTGGGCAGCTCCCAAGGTGTGTGCCCCTGGAGGGATCTTGGCGTCCATCCTCCCCTAGCCCAGATCCGAGAACCCGGGAAGAGGCTGCGGCAGCGCCCAGGAAGAAATCTTCCTGCTCTTAATAATGGTGGAAGCCAGGTCCCAGTCTCCAGGACCGGCAGCAGAGCCCAGACCCCAGAGCCTCTAGAGAGTGGAGTAACCAGCTGTCCTCAGCACCTACCAGCACCAAATCTTGAGCACTCACTTGGATCCTCTTGGCCATTCTGCAGGACAGACCACCTTATTCCCATTTTATAAGAAAACAGAGGACCCGAGAGACTCAGTGACCTGCTCAGGGTCACCCACCAGGAAGGAGGTTGGCGCAGTGTGACCCCAGCTCTGTGTGCCCTCTGCTTCCCTGGGGTGGAAGAGAAGGAGCAGGAACCTGGGTCTGGGCCTTACAGGGTGGGCACGGGGGTGAGGGAAGCATAGCCCCAACTCCTACCCACACTACCAGCAAAGTTTAATTCACAACCCAACCACAGGCTCCTTTGTGGAGGTGTTAAAGAACAAAGTTAGAGGTGGTTCCGAGTTGGATTTTGGGGGGTGTGGAGAGAAAGGGGGATAGTAGGGAGAGGGGAGTCTGCCCAGAGCCCCTGAAGTGTCCCCTGTCCCCTGCCCCAGTCAGCTTGTCCTTGGCTCCAGGACTGCAACTCTGGGCCAGGCTAGGTGGCTGGCTGGATCACAGCCTCCTTCCTTCCTCTTAACAGGAAATGACTTTCCTTCCCTTTGTTCCCACTTTCTCTGCTTACCCAACTGGATCTTACATTTGCCCTCACCCTCAGAGAGAGAAAGGGTGAATGTGGAGGGTGTCTTGGTTCCTGCTGGGTGGGAGACTTCCCCACGGGGCCTTTCTCATACTTACCCCTCCAGAGTGATGGGGGAGCCAGTGGGGCAAAAGGAACTTGGGCTCCTGTCCCCTCTTGGGGCCTGACAGGGCTTTGAAAAGCTCCACTCATCTCAAGCCTGTCCCCTGGGGCCTAAAGTCCTAGCAGTACCCACTGGGAGGGAGGGGGCAGGGACTGCCCAGCTGTGTACATCTGGCTCCCCTGGAGTCTTCCAAGAAAGCAGGCAACTTGACTTCCTGGCTGTGTGTGTGGGGGGTGCGGGTAGAGGTCAGAGTTGGATGGGAAGGACTGGAGGGACATCCTGAAGGTCCACAGAGGTCACTGGGGACAGCCCAGAATCTGCTGACTACAGGATTTCCGCTCTGGTTTGAATCATTCTGGGGTGAAAGCAGTTTGAGAATTTGGGAGGAGCTCTGGTAGTGTAGTACACTTGACTGCTAACCAGAAGGCTAGTGGTTCAAACCCACCAGCCACTCCTCGGAAGGCAGGTTAGGCAATCTACTTCCGTAGTGATACTGCCTCAGAAACCCAGGGAGGGGTCGCTACCCAAGGAGGGGTCGCTATGAGTTGGGTTCAACTCGACGGCAAATTACAACAGCCAGAAGGCTGGTGGTTCAAACCCATTAGCCATTCTGTGGAAAGAAGGCTGGGCAATTTACTTCCGTAAAGATTTACTGCCTCAGAAACCCAGAGGAGGTCGCCATGAGTCAGAATTGAATCGATGGCAGTGAGTTTGGATTTTTTTAGAGCTTAGTGCCATCCATGGAAGAAAAAGCATGTCTCAGGAGGAGGCAGCGTGTCTCAGCAGTCATCTTCTGGACGTTCAGGTCAGATGGTGCTCCGTTAGAACTCTGAATCCGCCTCCATGTCTGGGATCAGTTACTTAACATTTGGGACCTTTGGGGCCCACATTGCTCATCTTCCTCTTAGCTGTACTGGGAATTACGTGAGTTTTGAGGCGTGTAAAGCACTCGGCAGGATGCCTGGCACACAGTAAGCACTCCTACCAGTGAGTGCCGTTGTTGTTGTTGTTGTCTTTATTATTATTACAACGTAGTCACTGAAGAGAGACCATGGGAGCCAGTAGACTTTGAGAGAGGCCTATGACTGGTCACTCAGGCTCCAGGTCCACCATTAGGGGCCTTTGGGGCCATGTCAGGGTGGCACAGAAGCAAAGAGGGAGTAGAAAAAGGGCACAGTTTTATCCCAGGGCACAAGTCTTGAGTTCCTGGGGAGGCTCCTGAGCTGGTGTGACCGACTCACTGCATTCTGAGGCTCTGCCTTCGCCTTGGCTCCAGGCTACTCCCTGCAGGAACCACCTGAGAGATGGCTAATAGGCTGTCCCTGATGCCGCCCTGCCCCGGAGCTATGCTTTGATGGCAGCTGAAGGCATACACTGTGGGAGAGTTGGGGGGGTTGGACACGTGGCCAGTGAGCCAGTGTCCTGTGACAGGGCTGTCATCGCCCTGTGGAAGCAGACAACTGCCCAGGGGAGAAGGTCAGGAATCAGGGGAGGCTTCATGGAGGAGGTGATAAGCTTCTGGGCCTCTAAGCATAAGGTGAAATTTGCCCTGTGGGAGTGGGAGAGGAAAAACAAGTGGCAGAAACACTCAGTGGTAAGTAAGGGAGAAAGACACCCTCAAGGAAGAGTGAGCAGTGCTGAGTGGACAGAGTGTGGCTGAGGCCATAGGATTTTGAACTTTATTATGAAGGTAGTGGGGAGCCATAGAAGGCTTTTGAGTAGAGGCAAAAGAGTCAGATTTATGCTCCACAAAGATCACTCCAGAGGCAGTTTAAAAGGTGGGACTGGAGACCATCGAGGGGGGCCCAGTGCCTGAACTAGAGCCTTGGGGTGGAAGATGGGGCAGAACAAGAAATTCAGGCAATAGAATCAAGACTTGATTGGATATGGGGTCGAGCGCGGAGGCAAGGGTAAGCCCCCCGTGTTGGCCTGTGGGCTGGGCTGGGGGAAGGCAGCTAAGCAGAATAGCCAAGAGCATGGGCTCTGGAATCATACTGCCTGGGTTCAAATCCCAGCTCTGCTGCTGTGTGACTCTGGACAAGTGACTTCATATCTCTGAGTCTCAGTCTCCTCTGTAAGCAGCATGGTGATGGTTCATGAGTACAAAGTGCTAAGGACAGGGCCAGCACTGAGTAGGTCTGGTAAACAGTAGCTCTTGTAATCCTGCTCTCTCCTTCTCCCAGCACCCATCCCTAATGCTTTGCTAACCACACTGTTTCCTTCCCACATTGTAGCTGCCCTGGACTTTGGCTTTCCCTGGAGACTCTGAATCCCAGGTGAGGGAAGTAACTGGGGCGTGGCCCTGGGCTGGGACTGGCAGCCAGCTGTGTGGGGGAGGGGGGAGCTGAGGAGCTGTTCCTTAGGCTTCTAGAAGAGGAAGATGAATCACTGGCATGATGAGCAGAACAGGGCTGGCCTTTGCTTCCTCAGGTGTGCAGGGTGGGGAGAGCCGCTTACAGAATTTTGGGGTTCCATCCCTCTGACCAAGTCACTTGGTGGGCACCTCCCTCTTCCTTGGCTGGGCTGGGGTGCTGGGGTGCTCGGGTGGCTGCTCCTGTCTTGCTTGGAGGCCAGACTCCATGCCGCAGGATGGAGGGGGGTCTGCATGTCCACGGGGAGGGTACCCCATGCCCTGCATCCTGCTTGAGTCTGAGCATGAGTCTTGCTCTGCTCCACAGCCTCTCCAGAAGCCAAGGCAATGGCCTCAAAATCTGATAAGAGGGTTGCATCATCTGTCTTTATCACCCTGGCACCCCCTCGCCGAGATGTGGCTGTGGCTGAGAAAGTGAGACGGGCGGCTTGTGAGGCCCGGCCTGGCTGCCCCTGGGACTCCTCTGCCCCTGTGAAGGCACCCGCGGCTGGCTTGACAGGGAGGCCTGGCTCCCGGACACCCCTAGGCAGGTCTGTGCCAGTGGTGCCAGCTGTATCATCTGTACCACCTCAGCTCTCCAACAGAGGTAAGAGGGTGAGGGACGGGACAGGAGGCCAGGAGACAGGTAGCACCAAGGTGCAGAGGAAAGAGCAGGCTTGGATCACTCATTCATTAAGCAAATATTTATCAGGCACCTACTATGTGGTATGCCGATTCTGGCACCCAAGTGCCTGGGTTGAATTCTGCCTCTTCCACTTCTTGGCTATGTGATGTTGTAGGCCACTTAACCTTTCTGTGCCTTTGAGTCCCTGGGTGGCATAAGCAGTTAATTGCTCAACTACAGGCCCAAAGGTTGGCAGTTCAGACCCACCCAGAGATACCTGGGGAGGACGACCTAGTGATCTACCTCTGAAAACTCAGCCATTGAGATCCCTGTGGTGCACATTCTGCCATGCACATGTCGGGTTGCTATGCATCAGCATTGACCTGATGACAACTAACAATGAACACCACCACGTCAGAGGGCTACTGTGAGGACAAAATGGGTTAATATATATTTAAAGTGCTTAGCCTGTTGCATAGAAAACACCAAATGTGTTACTTGCTGTTATTATTCTGGGCTAGACACTGAGAAGAGACAAAATTTAACCTACATAAGAGATAATGAAATCTATCATATGATGTCAGGTAGAAGCAAGTTTTCTAAAGGATAAAACATGGTGAGGGGACTTTTTATGAGGTAGTTGGGATGGCTGTTCTCGGGAGGAGATCCTTCAGCTGAGGCATGAATGAGGACAGAGCTGGCTTGTGGGGGGAGGTGGTGCTCAGAGAGCAGCGAAAGCAGCAGGTGTAAAGGCCCTGAGACAGGTGTGAGCTTGGTGAGTTGAATTTGCTGGAAAAATGTGCTTCTTCTCTCTTGGGCTCTCGAGGCAAGCTGTTTCTTCTCTCTGGGCCTTGGGTTCCTGTTCTGTAAAATGGGCATTCCTTCATGTATGTGACATATCCACCACAAAGCAGATGCTTCATAAATGCCTGTCTCTTTATCTTGTGCTTGGTCCAAACTGGCCTTGTCATGGTAATGGAGAACCTTCCACTCATCGCCCCCTGCCACTCCCATGGAAAGTCTCAGCTGTCAGGTCAGGTGGAATCAAGGAGGGTGACTGTTCAGGGGCCTTGGATGGCAGGGATGGCTCATTGTCTGGGACAGTGACACTCAGGGACATCAAGGGTTAGAGGCCAGCCCAAGATGGCAGCTGAATCCTCTGAGTCCCCCAAGTGCTTAGCCAGGCATCCTATGTCCCAGAGGAGGGTAGGGCAGCTCTGTCCATTCATCACCATTGAAACCACCCAGGGGCCAATTGGAAATGCCAGTTACAGGACTCGAGGAAGGGGGACCACATGTACATGTGTGAGAGTGTGCATGGATATGCCTGCAACATACTTCTTCATCCTGCTAAATTCATCTTCCCTTCCTAACTACATATTCCAGAAAAACAGCCTCCTCCCAGCTACTTCTCTGTATAGGAGAACCAGAACCATTTTTTCAAAAAATTATATAGCAGGATGTGTGACCAGGTAACAAAAAAAAATTTGTCGCTTTTGGGAGGGAGAAGGAGCCCAGGAAATGGAGTTCAGGTGCCAAGACGCCAAAATTTCCTGGGCACTGTCATGGGCTATTAGGATGATACAGCCAGAATTCTCCCTAGAAGCAAGGATGGCGAGACTTTGTCTCACATCCTTTGGACCTGTTATCAGGAGGGGCCAGTCCCTGCTTGGTGGTGGTGGTGGTTGTTACGTGCCATCGAGTCAGCCCCGACTCATAGAGACCCCTCCTTGGGTTTCCAAGGCAGTATTACTACAGAAGTAGATTGCCCAACCTTCCTTCCGAGGAGTGGCTGGTGGGTTTGAACCGCCAGCCTTCTGGTTAGCAGTCAAGTGCCTTAGGCACTATGCTACCAGAGCTCCCCGCTGCTTGGTAGAGGGTTAGAAAAAAAGAAGACGACTCTCAACACGGTGGATTGACACGGTGGCTGCAACAATAGGCTCAAACACAGCAACAGTTTTGAGGGTGGCGCAGACCCGGGCAGCAGTTAGTACTGTTGTACAGAGGGTCACGCGGGTCGGAGCAGACTCCACAGTACCTAACAACATTAGGATGGTAGGCGTGGATCCTGGGAGTATGGTAACAGAGACCAGGCCTTCCTCAAGAGAAAGCTACCAGAGTCACCAGTTAGTCATTGGTCAGAGTCATGGTCAGCCATTTTGTCTGCTGACTTGGCTGACTGGAGCAGATCATGTGGCATCTTGGGGTCCAGCCCCTCGAGCGAGATACGCTCTGGATGTGCAGGTTGGCCCTGAGCCAGTCCGACCACAGAACACAAAGGCTGACCACTTACAGCCATCTTCACAGCAAACTGTCATCTGACGCCTCATCTCGGGCTTGTCCTCTCAGGAATCCAAGGTGTTTCTTTAGCCCTGTCTTCCTGGAAAAGTCTCCATCTTTCTTTTCTTCCTTCCCAACTAGATACACACACACCCTCGCACACAAACACACTCACCCACACATCATCTATTTCTTATTCATAAACCAGTTTTCCCCTCAGATTCTCTTAAAGCTGCTCACCCCCTCTTTCTGCTCTTGGCTCCTTAAACCAGCCTGTGCCCTCAAGACCCGTCTGTCTGGCTCCCTAGCTCTCACTTGTTTCTCTTTCTCTCTTTTTTTTTTGACATTTTATTGTAATTTGGGTGAAAGTTGACAGAGCAAATTAGTTTCCCACTCAACGATTTATACACATTTTGTTTTGTGACATTAGTTGCAATCCCTTCAGTGTAACAGCACTCTTCCCACCTGCTCCCTGAGTTCCCTGTTTCATGTGCCCATTTTTCCTGTCCCTTCCTACCTTCTGAGCTTTGTTTTTGGGCAACAGCTGCCCTTTTGGTGTGGCATTGTTGATTGTTCTAAGGAGTACTTGCCTTATAGGTGTTATTGTTCACTTTATAGGCTTCTGTTGTTTGACTGAAAGGTGACCCCTGGGGGTGCGTTCAGTTCCAGGTTTTTAGGGTGTCTGAGGACCATAGTCTCAGGGGTTCCACCAGTCTATCAGACCAGTAAGTCTGGTCTTTTTTATGATTTTGAATTTTTTTCCACATTTCTCTCCTACTCAGTAATGGTAGCCAGGCACCATCTATTGCTTCTCCCTGATGCATTCCTGCCCTGTGAGGACCTTTCACGGCCAGTTGTCCTAGAATCTTAAGGCGGGACTGGGAGACGCCTCAGCACTCCTGCTGCCTCTCCATGAAATCTGGTTCCTGACTCAGAGCAGCTCCTCAGTTCTCACACTTTAGCGACATCAGCATCACCCTGGGGCTTGTTCTAACACTGGTTGCTGGGCTCCGCCCCCCGGAATTTCTGATTCAGCAGGTTAGGATGAGCAGGTTAGGGTGAGGCCTGAGAATTCGCATTTCCAATTTGCATTTTCAGTCTGTGGTTCCCCTGTGAGAACTGAGGCACAGAGTGATAGCTCTCAAAATGTGGCCCCTGGGCCAGCAGCATCAGCATCAGCTTAGGGAGCAGTCAGAAATGCCAGTTTTCCTGTTCCACCCCAGACCTGCTGCACCAGAACTTGTGGAGGTAGAGCCCAGCTGGATGTGTTTAAAGGAGTACCCCCACCACTGATTCCGACTCACAAGTTTGAGGACCACACAGGTCTAGAACAACCTTCCCCTCTGTTCAGTCCCTTCAGCCCTTGGAGAAAGGGGACAGGGCATTATCTTTATTGAGTGGATGAGGAACCTGAAGCCCAGAGGTCGCCCAGTGAGTTTGGGCAATGGGACTAGAGCCCCGTCAGTCATTTGGTGATACAAATACTTAAGATCTTGGCTGCTAGAGGAATGTGATGGATGTCACTGAGTTGCACCTGTAGAAATTGTTGAATTTATACATGTTCTGCTTTGTATATTCTCAACAACATTTGCAAAATAAATTATAAAAGGAAAAGGAAACCCATGGGGCACGGTTCTGCTCTGACACATGTTGAGGTTGCCATGAGTTGAATCAATCCTATGAAAACCGATTTGGTGTTGGGGGCTAGAGCCCAGGTCTTTAGGCTTCTGGGGCCTCAGACACGTCCTCATTCACTTTCCATGGGTTCCTAGGGCAGTCTGCCCTCACTGAAGCCTGGCACAAACTTGTGCCCCAGTCACAGGAGGCCGGCGAGTACTTCCCGTGGCCCTTTTCTCCCTGGGGCTCTGGTCAGAGTGCTCACCCTGTACCAGGCAACCTTTCACGGGCAGTGCTCACTGCCCCTCACTAAAGCTTCTCTCCTGACCCCCTTCCTTAGTCTTCCTACTTTGGGAGAGCAGGGAAGCCCCTGATTGGGTGGGAGTTCCATGTGGTGACTGCTCCTTGGAGCTGAGATGGGGACTGGTGATCCCCCAATCCCCACCTCCTTCCTCTGTCGGGACACCAACTGGCAGTTGGGGTCAAGGGCCATAGTACAGGAACCCTGTACATGCCACATCCAGTGATATCAAGATTTTGACACACACACACACACACAGAAAAGAGCAGGTTTGTTGGTCTGATAAAAGTCTGGTGGAATCCCTGAGACTATGCCTCTAGTTACCCTTCAGGTCTGAAACTGAAGTCACTCCTGTGGCTTCCAGCCAAAAATAGACAGGCATATGGAGTGAACATTTCCATCAGGTAGATACATCCCTTGGAGCGATCAGTCAATCCTGGGAGAACAGAAGGACAGCATTGGCACAGGGAGACAGCTGGGGTGGGGGCAGTGCATGGGAAGAAAGGACACAGGGAAGAGGTAACTACGGAGAGGAAGTAGGAAGAGAGCTGTTACATTGTGGGGATTGCAGTCAATCCCCACAATGAAACAAAATGTGTATGAACTGCTGTACGGAGAATGAATTTGCTCTGTAAACTTTCAGCCAAAGCACAGTAAAAATTAAAAAAAGATTTTGCCACAGGTGCTACATCTCCGCCTTTTTTATTGTTGAATCATTTTAAAACAAACTCCTGTCAATGTTTTCAGGATGGGCCCCTAAATATGGCCCCAGTTCCATGATCACACTTCACAAAACAAACAAGAATGCCTTGTGATCACCTGATACCCTGTTCATAATTAGTTTACTCTGAATGCTTTTAAAATGCCTGTGAACTGTTGCGGTTGTAGAGGAATACCTTCCCTTTGGGCTATAAGAGTCAGTGGAATGTTTAGTTTTTCTGAACCTTAATTTCCTTACTTACAAAATAAGAATTAAAGGAGATGATGAATAATCCTTTGAATCAAGATCCAAATAAGGTCTGGAACAGCACTCTGAGTGGGAATATAATGCAGGTCACAAGTGCAAGCCACATGTAAAAACTGAGGTGAAATTCACGTAACAAAATTAACCTTTTTAAAGTGGCAATTAAGTGGTATTTAGTATATTCACAATATTGTGCAACTATCACCTCTATCAAGTTTGAAAACATTTTCATCACCCCAAAAAGAAAGCCCTGTACCTATTAAGCAGTTACCCCACACACACACTTCTCCCCTCCTCCAGCCCCTAATCTGGGAGCAACTACTGGTTTACTTTCTGTCTGTATGAATTTACCTATTCTGGATATTGCCTATAAAGCCACATAAATAATTTACAATTTTCTAGTATCCGCATTGAGAAAAAGTACAAAGAAACACATGGCGTTAATTTTAATAATATATTTTATGCAACTATCAACATATTAAAGTATCATTTCAGCATTTAATCAGTACAAATATAAAAATTATTAATGAGATATTTTACATTCTGTTTTTTTCATACTTAGTCTTACAGCACGTCTCAGTGTGGACTAGTACCACTGCAAATGCTCATTAGCCACACGTGGGTGGTGGCCACCATATTGGAAAGCACAGATAGATGCATTAAAAAACAAAAAACCAAACCCACTGCCATCACGTCAATTCCAAAGCATAGCCACCCCTGTAGGGTTTCCAAGGCTGTAAATCTTAAAGAAGCAGATTGCCTCATCTTCTTCCCATGGAGTAGCTGGTGGGTTTGAACTGATGACCTTCTGGTTAGCACTTAATTGCCTCACCCACTGTGCCACCAGAGCTCCTTTATCATACACTTTGTATGTGGTCATTTTTCTCTTGAGTCTCTTTTCATTCCAGGAAACTCCTCTCTTCCTTCCCTACCCCGAAGCCATTGAGTTATGGCAGAAGCTAGTCAGGTCCTGCAGAACATCCTACATTCTGGATTTACCTCTTCGCATCTTTGTGGTCTCATTGAACTCACCCCTCTATTGTCTGTATTTGTTATAAATGGAAGTTAGTTCTAGACACCTGACTAGATGGAGGAGGTTTTTTACTTTTTTGTAAGAACATTTTACAGAAGATGCCCATTGCTTCCTGACATAAGGAGACCCCTGGTATGTGCTTAGGAGCTCTGGTGGCATAGTGCCTAAGGCATTTGACTGCTAACCAGAAGGCCGGCGGTTCAAACCCACCAACCACTCCTCAGAAGGAAGGTTGGGCAATCTACTTCCGTAGTGATACTGCCTTGGAAACCCAAGCAGGGGTCGCTATGAGCTGGATCTGACTCGATGGCAGTGTGTGTGTGTGTGTGTGTGAGTGATATGTGCTAAGGTTGACCGGTGGGCTTAGGTAGTGACAACCTGATCCCTCCTTTGGAAAGTTCCCCAACAGCATTTGACCTATTGCTTTCAATACCTAATGACGGTGACCTCAGAAGTGTATCTAAGTTATGGCAGGTATGGCCCATGCCCTGGGTGCCACTTGAAGTGGGGCGCCACTGAGCAGTTTCTATTAATCATCACCATTTCCATCGCCAGTTATGAGAGATCATTCAGCAAGTTAAAACTAATACGTTTGTATTTGAGAGTCTCTGTGGGTCAAGGCAAGGCACTTCAGTGGCACTGTAGTTAAAGCATTGGGTTGCTAACCAAACGGCCAGTGGTTTGAACTCACAAGCCACTCCATAGGCTTCTATAAAGATTTACAACCTTGGAAATCCTATGGGGCAGTTCTACTCTGTCTTATGGGGTCAATATGAGTCAGAATTGACTCAATGGCAGTGGGGTGAGTATGGGTCAAGGCAGACTGGGTGATCTTTCTCAGCTGAGTATAGAAAGAGAAGAAACTGAAAAAAATGACTTTGAGCACACCAGTTTTCCTCAGTGAAACCAAAGAAGGTGCAGTTGTAATTTTCATGTAGCGCCATAATGTGCTAAGTAAAAGAGTAACGAGCTTGGCTTGTCCTGTTGAGCTGATACTGTGGTAAAGTGATCTATGAGGTGTCAGATGTTTGGACAGGGGAGCAATTTCAGTGCTAGCTCTAGGCGTTGTTTTCCATAGATACGCCTCTGTCTGACCTCTATCTATTATCTTCTTAAAGTGATAGTTCCTACACTTGTGCAGCATCAGCATCACCTGGAGGGCTTGATAGCTCCCGATGGCTGGCTCTCACCCTCAGAGTGTGACTGTGCAGGCCTGGGGCTAGCCCAAGAAGTTGCATTTCTGACAAGCTCCCAGGTGGTACACTCCCCGGTGAGGATGAAGATGCTGGTCCAAGGACACCCTTTGAAAACCATGGCTTGGAGCTGAGTTATGTTTGTGTTCTAATAAGGCTCTGTGGTAGGGGATTTGGGCACTGTAGCCCCCTGAGAGGGGAGGACTGGCGTGGAAGACTCTGACGACCGCCGTCTGAGCTCTTCCCATGTGCCATTCACTGTGCCAGTCCCTTTACCTGCATCATCTCATTTAACCCTTACAACAGCCCTAGGCCATTGCTATCCATTTTCCAACTGAGCAAATTGAAATTGAAACTAAGTCTCTTGCCTAAGGACACACAGCAAGTAAATGGAACCCAGATCTGGGGGGCCTGGAACTGAGCCCTCAGCCACTATGCCTTGTGGCCCTCCGGGTACGTGGACCTTCTCTATTCACCTGCAGAGACTCCGGCCAACCTTCTCTCCCCATCTGTTTGCAGGGTGTTCTCTCCCTCCTCCTACCCAGGATGGCGAGGAAGTGCTTCCTGATCTAGACCACCTCCCACCTCCTCCGCCGCCCCCATCAGCATACCTGCCTCCTCCAGATGAGGAGCCGCTTGGCCCGATGGGGACGTCGCTCATCACGGACTTAGAGCAGCTGCACCTGCCCCCACCTCCACCCCCACCCCCACCGCAGGTACTGCCAACCCCTTGGTCCCCAGCGGAGTGCCATGGGTTGGGGGAAGGAGAGGCTGGGCCTTCCGGGCCTTTCAAGGATAGAAACCTGGAGGTCATTTGGTCCTTTCTTCTGCGTCAGGACAGTCCCTCTTTAAAGCTCTTCCAGGATGGTGAAATTGCTTGGGTATGAGAAGGGGTGCCATGTCCTCTCCCCCCTCTGCTCCACCCATTTCTGCTCTGAGGAAGACATTTCCTGGTGTCTAACCTAAATCCCACATGCTGCATAGGAAATCCATTTTTAATCTTCTGCCCTTAATAAAGGCCATTATGGAAATGAGAAAGGAGAGAGGGTACAGGTTCAAGGCCAAGGGCTGAGCTACTTCCATTCAAGACCCAAAGAAAAATTCCTTAGAAGTAGAAGGAAGTCTCTTCCTTGGGTTGAGGGTGCCGCTGTAATCTTCCTGCTGAGCGACTTTGAACAGGTCACTTGCTTCTCTGGGCCTCAGTTTCCTCCCTGCACAGTGGGGCTAATTGTGCCTTGTGCCACTAAGATGAGGAGTGGAGCTGAGAGGGCTTCAGAGGGTCCCCCCTGACTTCCTCTTCTGACTTCCCATCTTTGTCTCTCAGTCCCCGGTGGACGGGCTTCCCCTCCAGCCTTGGCCTGGTCACCTCAGACCTGCGGAGGAGGAGCTGCCACCTCCCCCAGAAGAGCCTGTTTGTGTCCCTGAGAGAGAGGCGTCCACAGGTATGGGTTGGAAAGATTCTGGGTGGTCTTCCGGTGGGAACTAGGAGAACAAGACCACCATTGTCTGCCTAGCCCATATTACCATGATTGGCCTTGTATTTTATTTTTAGTGCCTTACCTTTTTTCCTTTATAGCTTTAAAATCCATTTAAATATTCATCAGTAAACTTTGCTATGTTAGCAAAAATGATTTGAATTTTTTTTAATGCATAATGTCCTCATCTAGGGAAAAATAAAGAGTATAAAAGATAAAAGGTCACATAGAGAGGTCTGACTTCCATCCCATCCCTGTGTTAGCCAGTCTCCTTCCTATAGACAACCTCTATTGATAAAGCCTTGTGTATCTTTCCAGACATATTTGATGCATATAAAAGCAAATATAAATATGTGCCCCCCCTTCTGTTTTCTTTTTTGGGGTGTGGGGGGAAGAGCTTTCAGATCTGTCATTTCATCAGTTATATTTTGCCTTATGTGTTCATCTTGTTTTCACAACTAGATATTGAACTCCTTCATTGGCCATGACATGTCTTAATAAGTAAATGTGTTTATTTCCTGTTTGAGCAACTATTTATTTTTTTCAGCTTTGCATGTTTGCATTTTTATTTTTTTTCACAATGTTTAAAAAATTTATTTCAAATTTTGCTGTTGTTGAGAATATACACAGCAAAAATATACACCAACTCAAAATCCCCCTGCTGTCTACTACAAACAATAGCCAACTCTGTATGCCATTGTGCACTTTGTTTCTTTCCTTAAAACTCCCTCCACAGCAGACACAAAGCAGCAGCTTACTCTTTTCCACAGCTGCATGGCATTCCTTGGTCAAGACATACATATGGCTTTAGCCAGTCTCCTATTGATTAAATACTTAGATTGTTTCTTTTCTTTTTTTAATTGTGGTTTTATATATATATAAAACCACACACACATATATATATATACATACATATGTATATATGTGAGCTCTGGTGGCATAGTGCCTAAGGCATTTGAGAGCTAACCAGAAGGCTGGCGGTTCAAACCCACCAGCCGCTTCTTGGAAGGAAGATCGGGCGATCTACTTCCGCAGTGATACTGCCTCAGAAACCCAAGGAGAGGTCGCTATGAGTCATATCTGACTCGATGGCAATGTGTTGCATTAATTTATTCTAGATACATTGTTTCAGTGGGATCATACACTATTTGCCCTTCTGTGATTAACTTACTTCATTCAGTCTAAAGGTTTCAACCTTCATCCATGCTGTAGCGTGTATGAGGACTTCATTTCCCTTTATGACTCAGTGATAATCCATTGTGTATCTGCACCACATTTTTTTATCCATTTATCTATTGATGGACATTTGGACTGTTCCACCTTTTGATTATTGTAAATGATGTTGCAATGAACATTGATGTAAAGTATCTGCTTGTATCTCTGCTTTCAAGTCTCTTGGGTGTTACCTAAGGGTGGCATTGCTGGGTCATATGGCTGCACAGGAGAGACACTTGGCAATCTGCCCCCATGAAGATTGCAGCCTAGAAAGTCCCATGGAGCAGTTCTGCTCTGTCACGTGGAGTCACTAAATCAAAATGGACTCAGCAGCACCTAGCAACAACGTGGTAATTCTGGCAAACTTTTTGAAGGACCACCAAATTGGCATCACCATCATACAATGCCACCAACAATTGATGAGGGTTTCAATTTCTGTGTCCTTGTCAATACCTCATGTTTCCCATTTTTCCTAATAATAGCCACCCTGTTGGGGATGGAGTGGTTTCTTGTTGTGGTTTTGGTTTGCATTTTCCTAGTGAAAGTGAGGATGACTTAAGGCACCTACTGATGAAGGTTGAAGAATACAGTCTGCAGTATGGATTACATCTCAACATAAAGAAAACAAAAATCCTCACAACTGGACCAATGAGCAGCATCACAATCAATGGAGAGAAGATTGAGGTTGTCAAGGAATTTACATTGCTTGGTTCTACAATCGATGCCAACGGAAGCAGCAGTCAGGACATTAGACGACATGTAGCATTGGGGAAGTCAACTGCGAAGGAACTGTTTCAAGTGCTGAGGAGCAAGGATATCTCCTTGAGGACTAAGGTGCGCCTGACACAAGCCATGATATTTCCAATCGCCTTGTATGCATGTGAGAGCTGGACAATGAATAGGGAAGACCGAAGAAGAGTTGATGCTTTTGAGTTGTGGTGCTGGCGAAGAATGCTGAAAGTACCATGGACTGCTAAAAGAACTAACAGATCTGTCCTGGAGGAAGTGCAGCCAGAATGCTCCTTGGAAGCAAGAATGGCCAGACTTCGTCTCACCTATTTTGGTCATGTTGTAAGAAGGGACCATTCCCTGGAGAAGGATGTCATGCTTGGTAGGGTGGAGGGTCGACGAAAGAGGGGGAGGCCTTCAACGAGATGGATTGATACAGTGGCTGCGATGATGGGCTCGAGTATAGCATGGATTGTGGGGCTGGTGCGGGATCGGGCAGTGTTTCGTTCTGCTGTGCATGGGGTCGCTATGAGTCGGAAACGACTCGACGGCACTTAACAACAACAACAATGACACTGAAGGAGCTCTGGTAGCATAGTGCCTAAGGCACTTACTTGACTGCTAACCAGAAGGCTGGCTGTTCAAACCCAGCAGCCACTCCTCAGAAGGAAGGTTGGGCAATCCTTCTGTAGTGATACCGCCTCGGAAACCCAGGGAGGGGTCGCTATGAGTCAGGGCTGACTCGATGGCACATAACAACAACAACAATGACACTGAGTGTATTTTCATGTGCTTCTTGGCCATTTATATATCATATTTGGAGAAATGTGTTTAAGTCCTTTGCCCATTTTTTGATTGGGTTATGTTTCTTTTCATTTGTTGAGTAGTGGGAGTTCTGTATATATTTTGGATATTAACTCTCATCAGACATATAGTTCCCCAAAATTTTCTCCCGCTCTATAGGTTGTCTCTTTATTTTGTTGATCAAATACTTTGAAGTAGAAAAGTATTTTTTTAAATAATTTGTTTTGTTACTGCTGCTGACAATATACACAGCAGAGCATACACCAATTCAACAGTTTGCACAGGTACAGTTCAGTGACACGGAGGACAATCTCGAAGCTGTGAAACCATTTTCACCCTGCTTTTCTGAGTTGTCCTCCATTAATATAAATATAATTTATATAATATAAATTCACTGCCCCTAAGGTTCCCATCTAATCATTCAAGTTTCTCTTGTCAATTTGATAGCATAATGCCTAAGGCACTTGACTGCTAACCAGGAGGCTGGCAGTTCAAACCCACCAGCCACTACTCGAAAGGAAGATGGGGCAATCTACTTCCATAGTGATACTGCCTCGGAAACCCAAGGAAGGGTCTCTATGAGTCGGATCTGACTTGACAGCACATAACAACAACAACAGACAGTAGCTTGAAAGAGCAATAATGCTCAAAGCAGATATGCCCTACGAGTTAAGCTAAACTATTTGATTTTAAGAAAACTTCAGGGAATATTTTTAGTTTAAGGTTTAAACATTATTTCAGGGAAAAGTTTTAATTTTGATGAAGTCCAGTTTATCCGTTCTGTCCCAATGCTTTGTACTGCTCCGTATGACACTCCTCATTTATCAGATGAGGAAAAGGAGGCCCCACTAACAAACCTGAGGGTTCAAAGCAGAGACTTGGGCTCTCTGGAAATTTTGGTGGTGACTAGGCACAGTCCTCTCCAGCAGGGCTGGTGATGACCTTTGTCTCCCCCACCCTAGATGTCTGCGCCTTCTGCCACAAGACCGTGTCCCCCCGAGAACTGGCCGTGGAGGCCATGAAGAAACAGTACCACGCCCAATGCTTCACGTGCCGCACTTGCCGCCGCCAGCTGGCCGGGCAGAGCTTCTACCAGAAGGATGGGCGGCCCCTCTGTGAGACCTGCTACCAGGTAACCCCCCTGAGGCAGGCCTCCAGGTGCCAGGCACTGAGCTGGGCACTTGGAACACATATTATTTTATCCCCACAACAGTCCTAGAAAGTAGGTGCTATTGACCCATTTCACAGACGGTTGAAGTTCACAGAATGGAAGGAGCTCAGCCAAGGTATGTTGTTAGCTTTGGCTGCAGGAACAAATGACCACAAACTGGTGGCTTAAACAACACAGTGCACATCTATTCTTTACAGTTCTGGAGGTCAGAAGTCTAAAGTCACTCACTAGACAAATGTCAAGCAAGGTGTCAGCAGGGATGCAGTCCCTCTGGAGGCTCTAGGGGAGAATCTGTTTTCCTTGCTGCATTCCTTGTATTCCTTGGTTCCAGGCCCCTCCTCTATCCTCTAAGCCAGCAGCATAGCATCTTACTTCAGTGGTCACACTGCCTTCTTCTTCTAAGTCAAATCTCCCTTTGCCTCCCTCTTAAGGACCCTTGTGATGACATTGGCCCTACCCAGGTAATCCAGGATAATCTCCCCTCTCAAGATCCTTAATTTCATCACATCTGCTAAGTTTCTTTTGCAGACAAGGTAACACTCACAGGTTCCTTAGGCCTGCCACACAAGGTCATGTTCAGGAGGCTGTGGAGCTGAGGTTCTACTCCAGGTCTGCCTGGTTCTGGAGCTTGCCCCTGGTCTTGCCACCGTGTGACCTAGACCTATGAGGTTCCAGATGCAGGTGGCCATGGGGGAACCTTGTGCCACTCGTGGTGGTTATGTTTTTGTGTCATCTTGGCTGGGCCTGGTTGAGTGGCTGGGCAGCTGGATGTAGTATTCCCTATGATGAGACTGGTAATCAACTCCATGGTGGAATCTACTGTGAGCAGCTGAGTATGTGGTCTGCTTCCCGTATATAAGCAGCAGCAGCTTTGAGAATGGTCTCTAGCCTATGACACACTTGGACCCTGCATGTAGCCATACCATTGTTCAGCAGCCTGCTATGCTCTGCCGACCTTAGGACTTACAATGGACTTGAATTAATGGCCTGCCATGTGGTTTGGTAACATCAGGACTGTGCCTTTTTACTTGTCAACCTTGGGTTTGTCAGCCTCTAGCTCCAGTGGGCTGGGAGTAGGAGGCAGAGCTGGACCCCAAGGTTGAGGGGCTTTCACCCAGCCCCTAGAGCCTGGCACTTTGAACTTGGACATAAAGCCTCCAAACTTGAGAGAATAAACTTCTGTTTGTTAAGGCCAACCCATTTGTGGTATATTCTTGTCAGAGCGGCACTAGGTAACCAGACCACTGCTTCTGGGTACCAAATGCAGTCTGGGGGAGCTGGTCTGAAGGCCAAGCTATTGGAGTTTCCAACTGCTTGACGATTTTTGGCTGCACTTTTCCCATGTGGTTTCTAGACCACCTACAGCTGCGTCACCTGCGTGTAGTAGGCTTCACCCTGTCCTTGCTAATTGATGGCATCCAGTAATCTGCTTTTATTTTTTTAATATCTTTTGTGTTTTAGGTGAAAGCTTACATAGCAAATTCAGTTTCCATTTAACAATTTTAACAAATTGTTCCATGACATTCATTACAATTTTCACAGTGCATCGGCATTCTCATTAATTCCATTCTGTTTGTTCTGTTGCCATTGATCTAGCTTCCCCGCCCCTCCTTGCCTTCTCATCTTGGCTTTTAGGTTAATGTTGACCATTTGGTCTTGTACAGTCAATTGTTTAAGGAAGCACATTCCTCATGGGTGATATTATTTATTATACTATAAGCCAATCTGTTATTTGGCTGAAAGGTGACCTCTGGGAGTGGCTTCAGTTCCAAGTAAAAAGGGTGTCTTAGGGCAATAATCTCAGGGTTCTTCTAGTCTCTATCAGTCCATTAAGTCTGGTCTTATTTAGGAATAAGTTTAGTTTAGTTTTTTTCTACATTTTTCTCCCTTTTTATTTGGGGCCTTTTATTGTGTCCCTGGTCAGAACTGTCAGTAGTGGTAGCTGGGCACCATCTAGTTCTGGTCTCAGGCTAGGTGAGACCATAGTTCATGCGGGCTATTAGTCCTGTGAACTACTTTCTTCCTTAAGTCTTTGGTTTCCTTCATTCTCTTTTTCTCCAGATGGGAAAAGATCAATAGTTGTATCTTAGATGGCCACTCACAAGTTTTTAAGACTTCAGATGCTAATCACCAAATTGTAATTTAGAGCACAGACTTAATGAACTACGTTATGCCCATTGACTAAGTTATCCTACAACACTAGAGACTATGGTCCCAAGCCTTTAACCCAGTAAACCAGTCCTACTACGTATTTGGATATATCTAGGTGGTCTCCCATAGTGGCTAAGGCACTTGACTGCTAACCAGAAGGCTGGTGGTTCAAATCCACCAGCCACTCCTCGGAAGGAAGATGGGGCAATCTACTTCCGTAGTGATACTGCCTCGGAAACCCAAGGGGGGGTTGCTATGAGTCGGGTCAGACTCGACGGCACATAACAACAACAGGAGGTCTCTGTAACTGTGCCCCCTGTGTGCTTTATCTATACGAATATATATGCAGCACTCAAACCTGTGTATACTTATGCTTACAGATATACCTATATATGCACACGCATGTACTCAAATATACCATACCTTCCTATATACATGTAGCATGTACACCTACCCATGTAACCACACACCTATTTTTTGTTTGTTTATTACTGTTGTTGCAAAATTGTATATGTTATAGCATTTACCATAATTGTCCTTTATTCTTGCACATCTCGATGTCTTCATTCATTTTCATCAAATTATGCTGACTTCCCCTGCATTGTGTATTACCTTTCCTATCAACAGAAATAACAAGTGTCTACTTTCTAGCAAGTGATGCCCCTCCCCTTCATGTTCCTGGTAATCATCAAATAGCATTGCTTTCTGTGTGTATACCTATTCTTGACTTTATAAAAGCGGGACCATAAAATATTTGTCCTTTTGTGATTGACTTATTTCACTCAGCATAATGTCCTCCAGATTCATCCACATTAAAAGATGCTTCATGAACTCATCATTCTTTATAAATGCACAGTATTGCACAGACTTAATGAACTATGTTATGCCCATTGACTAAGTTATCCCACAACACTAGAGACTATGGTCCTAAGCCTTTAACCCAGTAAACCAGTCCTACTACATATCTGGATATATCTAGGAGGTTTACCCATTCATCTGTTGATGGGCGCTTAAGTTGTTTCCATCTTTTTTCTGTTGTGAATAATGCTCCGATGAACATGAGTGTGCATGTGTCTATTTGTGTCACTGCTCTTAAACCTCTAGGATATATACCTAGGAGTGGGATTGCTGGGTCATAAGGGATTTCTATTTCTAGCTTTTTGAGGAAGCACCATATTGTTTTTCATAGTGTTTGTACCATTTTATAGTCCCACCAGCAATGTATGAGTTCTAATCTCCCCACAACCTCGACAGCATTTGTTGTTTTCTGTCTTTTTTGATCAGTGCCTTTTTGCAGGGATGAGGTGGTATCTCATTGTAGTTTTGATTTGCATCTCCCTAATGGCTAATGAAGGAGCTCTGGTAGCATAGTGCCTAAGGCACTTGACTGCTAACCAGAAGGCAGGCGGTTCAAACCCACCAGCCACTCCTCGGAAGGAAGGTTAGGCATTCCTACTTCCGTAGTGATACTGCCTCGGAAACCCAAGGAGGCGTTGCTATGAGTCAGGGCCAACTCGATGGCAAATAACAACAACAACAACAACAGCTAATGAAAGGAGCTCCGGTAGCACAGTGCCTAAGGCATCTGACTGCTAACCAGAAAGTTGGTGTTTCAAACCCATGAGCCACTCCACAGAAGCAAGACTGGGCAATTTACTTCCATAAGGATTTACTACCTCAGAAACCCAGTAGGGGTCACAATGAGTTGGAATGAACTTGATGGCAATGGGTTTGGCTTTTTTTTTTAATGGCTAATGAAGGAGCCGCAGTAGTGCACTGCCTAAGGCATTTGACTGATAACGAGAAGGTTAGCAGTTCAAACCCACCAGTTGCTCCACAGAAGGAAGATGGGGTAATCTGCTTCTGTAAAGATTTAGCTACATAGAAACCCAATGAGGGTGGCTATGAGTCAGAATGGACTCAGTGGGTTGTTTTTTTTTTGTTTTTTTTTCTGTTTCTAATGAATCATGAGCATCTCTTCATGTGTTTGTCAGCTGCCTGAATTTCCTCTTTGGTGAAGTGTCTGTTCTTGTTCTTTGCCCATTTTTTATTGGATTATCTTTTCTATATATTTTAGAGATCAGACCCTTGTCAGATATGTTGTTGCCAAAGATTTTTCCCCAGTCTATAGCTTCTGCCTTCACTCTTTTGATGACCATAAATATTTAGTTTTTAGAAGGTCCCAGTTATCTAATTTATCGTCTGTTGTTTGTGCATTTGCAGTTGTGTTTGATAGTCTATTTATGCTGAAAATTAGGACCTCTAGTTATCTTCCTGGAACTTTATAGTTTTAGCTTTAACATTCAGATCTTTGATCCATTTTCAGTTAGTTTTTGTGTATGGTGTGAGGTATGAGCCCTGTTTTATTTTTCTGCCAATGAATATCCAGTTTTGCCAGCACCATTTATTAAAGAGACTGTTTCTTCCCCATTGAATGGACTTCAACCCTTTGTTGAAGATCAGCTACCTGTAGATGGATGGATTTACTTCTGGGTTCTTAATTCTATGCAACCTGCATTTTCAACAAGTGCCTCGGGTGGTTCTGGAGCACACTGATTTGAGCGGTTTAGAACATTTGGAGTTGGGACTACCCAGGAACATCTGAACAATCGGCTCACAACCTTGTGACAACTTCAGCCAGAGCCCGTGAGGCACTGTGGGAAGGGGAAAGAGGCAAGGCTTTCTTCTACCCTGTCCCTCTGACCCCAGCAACGTGACCAGGGGAGATGTCCCTACCTTTCTTCCTCTGCTTGGTGCCAGGCACGGGTAAGGCACTGAGAGAGGAATGGCAAAAATGAGCTTACAGCTGAAATGTGCTGGAGAGAGAAGAGCTACTCATAGGAGGGGGGAGGAAGGGAAAACACTGTCCCCACCTGTGGTGGTTCAGTTTGTGTGTCAACTTGGCTGGGCCTGGTTGAGTGGCTGGGCAGATGGATATAGTATTCCGCATGATGATATTGACAATCAACTCCATGATGAAATCTACTGGGAACAGCTGAGTAGCTGCCTTTGGGTATGTGGTCTGCTTCCTGTATATAAGTAGCAGCTTTGTGAATGGTCTCTAGCATATGGCACCTTGAACCCTGCATGTAGCTGTGCTATTGTTCAGCAGCCTTCCATGCTCTGCCAACCTTGAGACTTACAATGGACTTGAATTAGTGGCCTGCCGTGTGGTTTGGTAACATTGGGACTGTGCCTTTTTACTTGTCAACCTTGGGTTTGGCAGCCTCAACAACCAGCAGCTGTCTAAGTGAAGAAAAGCCTCTAGCTTCAGTGGGCCAGGAGTTGGAGGCAGAGCTGAAGCCCAAGGCTGAGGGGCTTTCACCCAGCCCTTAGAGCCTGGCACTTTGAACTTGGACTTAAAGTCTCCAAATTGTAAGAGAATAAACTCCTGTTTGTTAAGGCCATCCCATTTGTGGTATCTTTTTGTCAGAGCAGCACTAGAGAACCGTAACTCCAGCAGACACTTCTGTCCAGGAGAAATCGGGTTAAAATGAACAGGAGGAGCCAGAAGGGAGAAGCAGCAGCATGTCCAGGGGAAAAGATGGAAGTTAGTGCAAGGCTCTTTGCTCCGCCTCGAGAGTCTCTCCCTCTCTCTCTCTTTTTCCCTCCTCATTCCAGAAAGGATTTGAGAGAGCTTATAAGAATGCATACCAGATAGAAAGAATGCATACAATACTGTGAAATAAGAAATCAGAGCAGAAGAAAAATCAAAGTAGAATAGTAAGTAGAGGAAAAGTTAGTAACCAAAAGTGTTTGATGAAAGACACCTATAATGATTGCTACAAGCGGAGGAACCTGGAATTTGGCTTGAGTTTCCAAGTAGCCAAATGGAAAAGGGAAACTATTTCAAGGTCTATTGTCCATACCAATTCCTCTTGGGGATCCCTTTTTTTGACTCTGGAGTTTGAGAGAAATTTCTCCTATGGCCCTAGTGGGCACTGGCCTCAAGCATGTACCAGTAACCAAAGAATGCAATAATACCCTCATGGTAGGATTCCTCACTGCAAACCAAGGACACAGTGCCGAGCTTGATCCATTGTAAGTGATGGTAGAGTTTCGGAGTGCGAGGTATAGTGTGACTGAGATGAGCCCCTCTCCTGCACTGCTGGCTTCCTGGGCCCCTGTGGATAGCCGGCCAGGCTCCCCTTAGGGCTCTAAGGCAGCGGCCCTCTGTCCTAGGACACCCTGGAGAAGTGTGGCAAGTGTGCAGAGGTGGTCCGGGAGCATATCATCAGGGCCTTGGGCCAGGCCTTCCACCCCAGCTGCTTCACCTGTGTGGCCTGCGCCCGGTGCATCGGGGATGAGAGCTTTGCCCTGGACAACCAGAACGAGGTGTACTGCCTGGATGACTTCTATAGGTACGAGAGTGGGGTCTGCACACTGGGTGGGGCAGGGAGGGCAGACTGGGACAAAGGAGCCGGGCTTGAGTGCTGAGGGGCTGGGTCAGAGCTTTCCAGCACTCTCTGGCCCTTCCTGTACCACACACGCACACATACTGCCCACGTACCTGCCCTGTGCTAGGGACTTCTTGGGCATAGCCCATTTTATCCTCAAGACTGTCCTGCCAGGGAGGTATTAGGAAAGTTCCCATTTTACCACACTGCCAGCTGCTAAGTGTTGGAGCTGTGACTCGAACCCCTGTCCACCTCACTGCAGGGCCTTGCTCTTAACCCCCACACCACAGCACCTCCCTCTGAACCTGTGAGGCCACAGGGACACAGATATTCATGATACTGCCCTTGTCCTCAAGTAGCTCATTGCCCAATTAAGAAAGAAAGAAAGGCAGCGATTTATAACATGGGTCCAAGCCTACAGAACACACAGGAGATTTCTCAACTTTCTCAGAGTCAAACGTCCCCCAGTCACTTCCTTGCCTCAAGCTAATTATACCCTGGGAAGCCAGATCTAATTATACACAGCTCCCCCTCTGCTCTTGCTGGGAAGAAATAGACATTTGTGGTTGTAGCTCCAGGTGCAGTCACATAGCAACGGGGCTAAATAGCTCTGGGAGATGAACTGGCACCAGGCTGTGAGTTCTGACAGCTAATTGCTGCGGTCTCAGCACATGGCTTACTTTTTTCCTCTAGGAAATTTGCCCCAGTGTGCAGCATCTGTGAGAATCCCATCATCCCCCGGGACGGGAAGGATGCCTTCAAAATCGAGTGCATGGGAAGAAATTTTCATGAAAACTGCTATAGGTGCGAGGTGAGTGGAGCAGTGAGGGTTTAGTAACATGCTGTTTAAATAACACACGTTCAATCACTGCACACGCCTTCATGGTGGCCAGCTGGGTGCCAGGCCCTGGGCTGGGTTGTGGGTCACAGGAACAAGTTGGGGTGGGGTCTCTGCTCCCAAGTTGCTCATCAGTTGTCTAATAACAGAGACAAATAAGTATGGAGATAATTGCAAATTATTAAAAGATCCCAGGGTGGCGTAAATTGTGCTTGACTGTTAACCTAAAGGTTGACAGTTTGAGCCCATCCAGTGGTGCCGCTGAAGAAAGGCCTGGTGATCTGCTTCCATGAAGATTACAGCCAAGAAAACCCTGTGCAGCAGTTAGTTCTGCTCTGTGGCATGAGGAGTCACCTTAAGTCAGAATCAACTCAATGGCAACAGGTTTTGGCTTTATATATATATATATATATATATATAGTTTATTAATCAGAACTTGTTGGTTGTTAATGACAGAAACTCAAACTGCTTTCCACAAGAAAGGGAATCTGTTGGCTCATGGGGAAGGGTGGTGTTTGTACCAGGGGCTCAAATGATATTAGGGCCCTCACTCAGTCTCTTGGTTCTGCCTTTTTTGTGTGTTGCCTGAAGGCTGGCATCCTCTTAAGCAGAGACAGGTGGTACACGGCCACAAATGACCCAGGTTTATATCCTCTCAGCTTAGAAACCCAGGGGAGGGAACCTGTCTCATGCAGGAAAGGCATACAATCCCAGGAAGGCCTCTGATTGGTCCAGGTTAGGTCACATGCCCATTTGGGGCCAGTCACAGCAGCTGGGGCCTAAGGCACTAATTGACCACTTCTAGGCTCCTATAGCATAGTGGCTAAAAGCACTTGACTGCTAACCAGAAGGCTGGCGGTTCAAACCCACCAGCCACTCCTCGGAAGGAAGGTTGGGCAATCCTACTTCCGTAGTGATACTGCCTCCGAAACCCAAGGAGGGGTCGCTATGAGTCGGGGCCGACTCGATGGCAAACAACAACAACAACAACAACAAGGCTCCTATAGAGTTGTTATAATCATAGGAAGTGAGAAGGGATGCTGGGTAGACACACAGCCCAGATGTCCTTTCATTGTTGTTGTTGTTATGTGCCATCGAGTCGGCCTTGACTCATAGAGAAACCTCTTGGGTTTCTGAGGCAGTATTACTACGGAAGTAGATTGCCCGACCTTCCTTCCAAGGAGTGGCTGGTGGGTTTGAACCCCGGCCTTCTGGTTAGCAGTCAAGTACCTTAGGTACTATGCTACCAGAGCTCCTGTCCTTTCATAGGGATGGGGAAGAAAGAATGTATAAGATTAGCTTGGGACAAAGCTGACACTAATAGAGTCTACCTGGGGCAGAGGAACCAAAGGCATGTTCATTGAAGAGGTGATGCTTGAGTGGGGATTTGAAAGATGAATAGGAATTTGCCAGATAGGGGAGAGAAAGGCTAGAAAGAAAAGAGATCCAGTGAAAAGCCATTGTGGTTCCAGCTAATCTGGGAAGTCAGAGGAAGTGGAGGTCTCTGGTGAGTCTAGAGGCAGGGTTAAAAATGAGGCCAGAGAAGGTGAAAGGGCTTCCTGTAGCCCCAGGTAGTCATTCAGCACCCCAGCCCCTGGCCATGATGATTGGCCCAAAATGGGCATGTGACCTAAGCTGGGCCAATCAGGGGCCTTCCTGTGATTGTATGCCTGAGGAGTTGTTCTTGTTGTTTGCCATGGAGCATGAGGAGTAAGGCTAAGGAATCTAGACTTGAGGTTGCAGGGAGAGGGCAGGCTGAAGCTGGGGAGGCTGATTAGAAACTGGTGCAGTAGTTCTAGCAAGAATACCTAGGGAGCTGCACAGAACCTGTGCTAAGGAGGCCCCACGCTCACTTTAAAACTGCTACTGCCTTGAAATTCTTCAGTTTTGAACAAGGGGCTTCACGTTTCATTTTGCCCTGGATCCTGCCGGTCAGGACAGGCTCCACGAACCCTCCCCCTCCCATGTCACTGAGCATGCTGCTTTCTCTGGTGATGGTGACAAAGATGGCAACTTTGTGACTATCACCTAAGTGGGGCATTGGAGCAAATGTAATCATTCTAAACACACTCAGACATTTAACATTTACTTAAACAGATCACAAGGCTGTTGTTACTGAAGGTGAGGAGGGAGTCTGGGGGAGGAGTCGATGAATTACTTCATCATTGTATCAGCTTTGTTAGTTGGAGTGCAAGGTCTGGCTGATAACGCATCTTGAGAGAACAATGATGAAATTCAAATGCTGTTATCACCACTATAGCACTAAGGTCCTGGGTACCTAGTATTTCTTGGAACCTGGCTGGTGAGCAAATAAAGCCGCCCTGCCTTGTCCTGATAAACTTGACCACGGCTGCCATGAAAGTTGCCCAATGAGCCAGAATTTGGACCCTGGCAGTTAACATTTCAGAAGGGAGGACTCTTGAACCGCAGTGGTCTGGAGTAGGCTTGTTTCTTCAAGAAGGAAAATAGGTTTCTAGGAGCCATCTACACCCACCTCGTTGTTCCTGCGTTACCTTGTGGACCATCTTATTTATTACCATTGTTAGAAGGGTAATATGTTATACTCACATGTGGTGGTTTTTAATGTATAAAATAACTTCCGTATATATTGCCTTATTTGATGCTAATGACAGTCTTTCCAGATGAAATTTATTGTCTCCGTTTAAGATGAGGAAATCAAGGCTCAGAAAGTATTTCCAACCCATGTTTGTCTGAACTGAGTCTAGCCAATTTCTGCCAACCCACGTTCCTTTGCAGACTTGGCCTCCACTTGATTCTAGCGTAGGAAAGGTCACTTTGTGTCCCTTTGGAACTTTAAGTTTGGTGCTTGATGCTCTCATGATGTCAAACAATTGTTGGGAATAGTATAGATACCGGGATTAAATAGCCCAGGGTCCACTTGAGAGAATCAAGGTGGAGTTGCAGGAAACAGACACACGAGGGTGCCCTACCCAGCTGGCAGCAGAGGAGCATGCCTTGCGGTCAGGGCCTTGCTAGGTCAGGATGGCCACTTGGCAGCCTTGGTCAAGTTGATCAGGACAAGGCAGAGGGTTTATTTGTTCACTAGCCAGGCTCCAAGAAATACTAATGTGGGGACCAGGCCTCTCCTGGTGGCTTGAGAGATGAACACAGCTGCCATTGGGCTTCAGTTGTGCCCTGCACTGGCCACATCTCTGGACATTAATTGTTCCCATTATCACTCTCCAGTGTGAACCCAGGTGAAAGTGCTGGTCTGGGGCAAAAAGGTGAAGTGGACAAAGTTTGGGCCTCAAATCTTCATCCTCCTTGTGCTGAATCTCCCCGGTGATTTGAGAAGTTGGAAGTATTCGTGTTTGTGCCACTGTTGAAGCTGTATGGGCAGTGGGACAACAAAAGGACCCTTGAGCCTGAGCCTGGAGTCCTGGTCCAGTCCCAGCTCTGGAGCCAGCTGTGTAGCCTGGCACAAGCCCCGGCTTTCTCTGGACCTCAGTTTCCTCATCTGTGAAATCGAGGGACTGAGCAGGTTCAGTTACTCATTCAACAGGCACTTACTGTGTGTCTGTGCCGTGCCAGGCACTGTTCTAGGCTGGGATCTAGCAGTAGCCGGAGCTTCTGCCTTGTGGAGCTGACATTCGAATGGGCTCTGGGTGGTCCTTAAGGCCTTTCTAGCCCCAGCTTTTCATGATCCCTCAGAGGACATCTTTCTCCGGAGGGCACACTTGACCCCGAGCATCCTCAGTTCTCCAGTGGGCAGATTCTGTTCCCAGCACTTCCACCTCCGTGCTGCTCAAAGCAAGCCCCCTGTATCTGATTTGTCTTCCCTGTGAGGACCTGGCCAGGTGTGTTGGCAGGTAGAGCAGGAATGAGAGGCTCATTCTTCACCCTTACTCAGAACATAGGAACCCGTTGCAGTCAAGTTGATTCCAACCCATGATGAGCCCATGTGTTACAGAGCAGAACTGTGCTCTGTAGGGTTTTCTTGGTTGTAATCTTTACAAAGTCAGATTGCCAGGCCTTTCTTCCATAGTACCATTGGGTGGGTTTGCACAGCCAACCTTTAGGCTAGTAGTCAAGTGCAAACCATTTGCACCACCAGGGACCTCAAAACACACCAAAGGGTTCTGACTCCCTGCAGCTCCATGCTGGCAGTGCCCTTGCCTGGGTTGTATCCACACATATCTTTCTCTCCCACAGGACTGCAGGATCCTCTTGTCTGTCGAGCCCACCGACCAAGGCTGCTACCCCCTGAATGACCGCCTCTTCTGTAAGCCGTGCCACGTGAAGCGGAGTGCTGCAGGGTGCTGCTGAGAGCACCCACTGGATAGTGGGCAGCCAGTGGCCCTTTCACTCTCGCCAGGGGCCCTTCCCTGACTTTGTTTCCCTTCCTGACCTGCTCTTGCACATTTTCCTTCTTAGCCTCAGCAGGGGCCAGCCTGCAGCTCTGCCCATCGTGGCTGCACTACAGGGGTCTGAGCCACCGCAGGCTGGGCCTCCTCCCAGCACAGTAGTGGGGTGAGTGGTGGAAAGCACCCCTCAGACTTTGAGGCCCTCCTCCAATTCCTCCAGGCACTGAGCAAAGCTCTGCACCATGAACATCAAGCTCATAGCTCCCATATCCAAGGCTCTGGCCCCCATTTCCAGGGGAGAGCTGCGTGGTCTCCAGCTGGTGCCTGGTGTGGCCTTTTGCTATCTGGTAGGAGTCCCTGTGTGATGCAGATGATTAAGCGCTAAGCCAAAAGGTTGGCAAGTCGAATCCCCCCAGAGGTGGTTCAGAAGACAAGACTGACGGTCTACTTCTAAATGTCACAGTTCTGCTCTGTACCCGTGGGGTCCCCATGAGTCAGAATCTACTTGACATCACCTAACACCACCAACAGCAGGGGGTTCTGGGACCTCTGGCTTGCAGAACTGAGCTGTTTTGAGAACAATCCCAAAGTTCTTTATAAAGCGCTTGGCTTTTTTTTCAACTTGAAGTTTAAACCATGAAAAATAGGATTCTTTGGATTTGTGGTAGTGTGGCCACAGACTTCTTCCATCTGGGGCTTGTCATGCTGGAGTGGGAGTGGGCCTGGCCCAGGGGGAGCCTGCCCAGTAGGGGCAGGAGGAGGGAATGATGCACAGCACCCACGGCCATTGCAGCCCCTCACCCTTCCCTCTGGTCCCCTCTCCCTGTATGCTACAGTGATTCAGCAGGTGTGAGCTGATTGCCTGTTGTCTGCTGAGAACAGAGTGCAAGGCTCACAGTGTACCCCTGGCTGGGCCCCTGCCCACACACGCATACAGACATACACACACACTCCCTCCAGGACAGTGCCAGCACAGCACCCCTTCAGCCCTCTGGTTATGCCCCCATGTGCTAGTCCAGGTTGCCCAATGATCACTGACTCAGCAAGGCCACACCTAGAAGATTCTTCCCTTTTAAAGAAAATCACTATTGTTGCTTCTCGACCTCTTGGACTTATTGTGCATAGTGCCTAAGGCATTTGACTGCTAACCAGAAGGCTAGCAGTTCAAACCCACCAACCACTCCTCGGAAGGAAGACTAGGCAATCTACTTCCGTAGAGATACCACTTCAGAAACCCAAGGAGGGATCGCTATGAGTTGGAAGCGACTCGATGGCAGTGAGTTTGGTTTTGGTTTATTGGC